GGGTCAAATAGTCTATTTGAAAGGGTGAAATTGAAGAAATTATAAGACTAGGGGGCCAATTTGAGAAATCAGAAAGTTTAGGGTTGAATTTAAACTATCAGGGGCTAAATTAAAGGAAATAAAAGAGGCAGGGATTGAATCTGAACTATCGAGGGTGAAATTCAAAGAAATTAAAGTTTAGGGGACTGGATCGAGGATAAAACCTACAGTTCGGTCCAACAACGGACCAAATACTATGCAGGCCATGCTGTGATCGTGGTAGCCAATTTTTGGCTTAAAAGTTGGCTTTAGTGTGCGATGCACGTCAAGGAAAGGTTACCCTCACCCAATTTTGAGTTTTGAGAGAAAAATCGAGAGTATTGCTCATTGGTTCTACCAACTAGCCCACAGACAACCGAGGGTGATTTTTCTGGGTTTTGATGCCATTTTGATCAATTTTGTTCCGATTAAAGACCATAGAGTGGTTTGCCTGGCTTAAATCTACAATCTTCAATCAGTTAAGGTATGCCCTTAATCTGTGAAATTTTGGGTTTTGTTGAGTCAAGTTCCGTGTTGTAACCCGAGTTGGGAATTGGGTTGGGGAGTCAAGTTCCAGGCAAAGAAGACAGACCCAGATGGTATCTGGGTCCGGACAGAGTTGACCTGAATGAGTTGACTCAGCTCACCGAGTCGACTTAGCCGGGCTAGGTTGGGTGGGCTTGGGCTTGGGCTAAGGCAGGGCCGAATGGGCTTGGGGTGGGCTGAGTGGGCTGGGCTGGTTATTGGGCTTGGGATCGCCCTATTGGGCTAAGTCAGTGGCTTGCCCATGCCAGTTGGGCCGGCCCAAGAAGAAGGGTTGGGCGAGTTGGGTGAGTTGACTCGGTGAGTTGACTCAGGCCAATGAACTAAATTAGTGAGTTGACTCAGCAAGTCAACTTGGCAGCTTGATTCTAGAATGCTATCTCAGGAACAAAATAGAATGAAATTGGAATAGAATAACCAAGGCTGGGATAAGATATCCAGGGTTCCTAATTAAGGACAAAAAATGGTTTAGGGCCAGTTTAGTAGAAACTTAGACCAATTCCGGGAAGGTAAGACTGGTTCACACATTTGAGGGGTTTGGTTCATTAGAAAACCGACCAATTCAGTGCTATTTAAGCAAGTTTTGTATGCAAATGGCTTGGTCTAGCTTGGTTTTAAGGGTTTTAAGGCCAATCAGTCCATTCTTAGGTATTTGCGGCTAGTTTAGTCCGGTTTTAGGGTATTTGAGGCTGGTTTAGTTCAGTTTTGAGTGTTCATGGCCAGCTCAAGCCGGTTTCCAGGGAGATTAAGGCCAGTTCAAGGGCTTTAGAGACCAGTTCAGCATGATTTAAGGTTTTTAAGAAAATAGATGTGTGTTCCTAGTCATGTGGGTTCCAAGTGATAGGAAATGAGCGTTGGGATGCGTGTATGGGTTCCATAGTGGGTTTTGAGCCTGGTTTTTGGGTGGCTGAGTCCTTTCTTGTGTCGGTTCGAGTTGTGATTTTAATTGTGCGCTATTGTGGTTGTAGATATACTGGCAGAGACGCAAGGTAATCGTTAAGTTAACTTGGGTTTTGACTCGGCTTTAATCTGTGAGTGATGATACCCTTTCTATACATGTGTTTTCTAACTGTGATTTATGACATTAATACTGGTTTTTGATGAGTACAGTATTTTAATTATATGCCAAATCTCTAGGATATGGGTTAATGTGTTTTGAAATTTACAATGAGCATTTGATATCACATGTTTTGACATTGATATGTTGATATATGAACTATATGTGTATATACGAAATGTTTTCTATTAAATATGTGAGGAGTTGTATCATGTGATGTGATTAAGACGTTAGAGGCTCAACCGGAGAACGGTGATCCATAGCATCCAATGGTGAGTGCCCTAAGTTCAATATGAGACTGAGGCACCTCGAACATGATACGTATTATCATGATGAGATTGGAATATTAGGGCTCGACTGAGGACAGTAATCTATCGCGTCCAGTGGTGAATGCCCTGAGTCTAGTATGATGATATAATGACTGTACATGATGATACTCGCACATATATGTTTTGGTATACTGATACTACTCACTATGTATGTATATGTATGTTTTGGTATACGTTGCAGTGCATATCTCAGCATGGCTAAAATAAGTATCATCTGTACTCATTGAGTTTAGCAACTCACAGTTTATTATCTTTCTAGATCGGTTAACTATTCGTTTTCCAGCTAGAGTTTGGTGCTAGAGCCAGTTTTCCTGCCGACTTGATATATGTAAGAGCGTGTTCCATTCGTTATAATTTTGTACTCTAGTTATTCCTTTATTTTTTAGACAAGATTCTGGTTTATGTATGTAGAGTTTGAAATATATTTTGTATTGTGACTAGTACTGTTGGTATGTTGTGGATGTGAAGCTTACAAGGGTTGATGGACCCTAGTGCCGGTCATGAGCCCAGGTTAGGGTCATGACAGAAAGAAAGAGAAAAGAAGGAAAGAAGAAATGAAAGAAAAAAAAAGTCAACATTAGTGGCTAGTCATTTAACATATAGCAAATTGAAGTATTTAAATTAAGGAGGGGTGTATATACATTATCACCGACTTAACCAGGGGTATTAAACTGATTTTGTCCAAAACTCTCCCCACAATTTCGTGCTATATAGAGAGAGAAAGAAGAAGAGAAGAAAGGAAGGAAACAGAGAAACCAACGTAATAAAAATTTTGCAAAAATTCTTGAAAAATGATTTGTGTGTAATTTTTATTGTAGACTTCCATGCTATACATATACTCCTTTCATTTGCTTGAGAAAAACCAGGTTTTTAGAGGGATTAACTGCTGAAAAACTAAGTTGGCCGAACCTCCTAGAGAGAGAAAAAACTTTGGATGTTGCTTGCATTGAATAAAACTTGTAACAAACCTATGTTGACTTAGAAAATTGCTGTTTTTCTAAACTTATATGACATTTATATGCTGGTTGTGAAGTTGGAATCAGAGTAGGAAGGGGGGAGAATTTCGTGGGAGCAAGAAAAAGGGAAAATTTTGGGAAGAAAAACAAGAAGAAGGGATCAAAATACAAGATAGAACCATGTTGTGTCCTTGCTGAAAAATTTTCAGCAAGCTACTTCAATATGACCAAATTTCTTAAGCCTAGAAAATGGGGTTATTTTGATTCAATTTAATACTAAAGAGTTCCTTAAGAAGTGGTGAGATAAAGCGAAAAGAGAATTGAGGGAAAAAAAAAATAAAAAGTGGGCCATAGGGGAAATGGAACCAAGTTGTACAAGTAAGTGGGTTGCAGAAATTTCTGCAATTAGAGCCACGAAATTGGGTTCCAAGGGGGTCAAAACCCAGCCTATTGAGTGGCTATCTAAGAGAAATATATAGCCTAAAGGGAAGGGAATGATTTGAGATCAAGTTAGGATCAAAACTAAGTGAAAAACCTTTAGGAATCCAAGGTGATTAGGAGAAAATTTCTCTGCAATAAAAATTCAGCAACCAAGAAGCATCTAATTGGAATTTATTTAAGGGCTTAAAAAGGTTTAAGTAAATGATCAATCAATGGCCTAAGAAGGTTGGGACAACTCTATCAAAAAAGGGAAAGAAATTATTCATTTTTGGCTTATCTTAACACAAATTTAATTAGATGTAATATAAATTATGTGCAAAACTTAAGGGAATCAATTTAAGGAGATTTAGAGTTATTTTTGAAAGGTTTTGTGCTCTCCAAGGCCCATGAAATGGACTTAGAAAAAGAACAAACAAAGGCGTAAGGAAACCCTAAAAGGTAATAATGAAACTTGCCACACAACATCACATAATATGAATTTAAAGCCCCAGAGAAAATAACTTTTCAATCTATAAAACTTAAAGAGTAAGTTTTTAACCTTCTAAGATACACTTAAGAGAGCTAATAGGGAACGTACCCAAGGATAAAGAGGAGATATAATAGAACTTCTAAAGTTTAGAAGAAACTAAAGAGAATGTGGAATAAATATAAAGGGTTATTATTAATAATGCATAACCAATAACCATATCCATTCGACATACATCGCATTATGCATCCATGACACTCTACTCATACATAGCACATTCCAAACGTGTAGGCACACAAGACAGAGTTGACCTACACCTCATTCAATCAAGACAACCAAAGCAACAGTAGGCTATACATACGGTGAGTGGCATACCCTCCAAACCTAGGATTTTTCATTTCAAATGCTAAGTTTTATGAACAAAATGACTTGTTTGCTAAAACCTACATTTATTTTCAAACTAAAACTTGGAAATAAAGTGCTATGTTTTGATTTCTAATTATACCTGCTCTTGATGATGTTTTTCTGGCATTTTAGTGTTTCAACACTTAGTCTAGTATGTCGGATAGCCATCTGGGACAGGTGGTTGTACTACAAATCTATACTATGACATTAGACCCAAGAGGTCTTAGATGCCACAGACTGTGTAGGACTGTGTAGTTTGGTCTAGAGTGGTACCATGATTACAAACTACACAATCATGTAGCGCCCGACATGTTTTTCTTGGTTTTTCTTATTTTTATGGATTTACTTGCTCTTAGACACGATATTGTCGGTTGTGCGCACCCTATCAAAGTTACATCAAATGCTATGTGTATATAGTTAAGACTCTCTTATGATTTTTCTACCTTGGTTTTAATGACACAATTATACTTCGATTGACTTATCAAAAACTCAATGGTGAAACCATACTTATGCTAATCTATTTATACCTCATTTATCTACTTTTGCCTTATGGATTTTATGTCACATGAAAGAGCTTAAATAAAATTATATCTACTTCTACTTTGGCTTTTCATTGATGGAACAAACCTTGAAAAACCGAATTTATGTGTGTATATATGTGTGTGTGTGTGTGTGCATACCCGCTCTGCTTCCCCTAGATTTAGATTGTATGCCTAGGAACTTTGTTCTCACCTCTCTCTATTTTGCAAATTTCTGCTAGATATGCTGTGTTTTTCCTCACGTACATGCACCAATACTTGAGATTCCACTACACAATAGACGGAGGTCAGGCCAACACGACCTTGGTTACCTTTGTCTATTATAATAAACATCTAGTAAATGTATTAGGCATTCCTTTCGAGAGCGAGACATGCATATGAGACAATGACTTATGGATGTAATGATTATATTTCTACTGTTCTGTAAATTATTTTTACCTTACTGCGTTGTGGATGAATGAGTCTAGTTAGCATGCAAATAATACTTGCACAGTTTATAGTATGGTGTTTGTGCTTAGTTACCTATAGAATGCATATAACTGCAACAGGTACCACAAGTTCAATTATAGGGATACCAGGTAGGGGTTATAGCAGCTGTCATGTTGCCGCATTTTTGTCTTGGCAGCAGATTCTACCCCCGCTGTCACACTTGCTTAGCTGGAGGAGGGGCATGACACACACACACACACACACACACACAGAGATGAATGTGTATAGGGAAGATGCAGGGGGTAGTGAAAGGGCATAACTGAATTTTGGATGTTTTCTAGTAGCCGTTGGCTTAGGTGGGAACTGCTGATTGCAATCACTGTATCTATGAAAAGATCAAAACATTAAACTATGAGTTAGATAGCAGAATTCCCACACAAAAATACAGAAAAAATGTTGGGTAAGATCTAACTTTGAAGAGAAGAAGACCCAATCTTCATGACCAGGTCAATTCTACATGACAAGATTTTCAAAAATACACTAGCCTTTCCTTGCCTTGCCATGCCAACCCCATTCCCCATACACATAATTACAATAACAACAACAAGGGGAAGAGAGAGAAGGAGAGGGAAAGATTGAGGGAGGGATTAACATTTCACATCCAATTTCTGTTTCATGAATCAATTGGAACAAACCATGTTCCTAATAAAATAGGATACCATACAAGGTCATTGTCAACTACCCCTCTATAATGAGGATTGTGGGATTTATATGCTTTGTATAAAGGCAACTTCCTTTAGTCACAGTTTATACATAATGTTGTTATGGATCTCCACTAACGTTCAGAAAAACTGAAAACATAAGCACATAAGCCTTTACCACAACACTGAAGATACAGCCCCCTAGACATGACATGATTTAAAAATGAGGGAATAGATAAAAGAGAGATCATGCAGGTGCCTAATTAGTTTATATATATAAGACTGTTTTCTTGAATTGTCACTTTAAGTATCACTGTTAGAACTCAAATTATCTTTTTTTTTTGAACTTTTCAAATAAAAGGCCATTAGTATTACAGAATTATATGCAGTATGGAGTCTTGGTAGAACCACAATTTCCAATGGGTTTACTACAATATTAGAAGTCAGATATAGCTATCAAATTCATAGCACAGACCACTTACTTTCCTCGTAAAAATAGCTTCTTTTTAACCTTCAACAATTAGATGTATGAACCTCAATTACTCTTAATCTATCTGGGATATCAATTCAACAGCAGATGTCCCACACTCTACCTTGGTCCTAATTTAACCACTACTACCAAAGCAAAAAAAAAACTAAAAAGCAATATATTCTGCAGACCTTAACCCCAAAAACAACATAATTACCTGTTCTCATCAGAATAGGGGAGTATGGAGTGAAATTTTCCTGGAACACTAAGGGCTGCCCACATACAAAAAGTCAACCCTAATATTAACTCCACGACCACCTGCATTGCCAAAACGTTGATCCATAAGCAACAAAGAAAAAACCCACAGAAGTATATCAATTTTATAATAGGTGCAAACTTCTTTTGATACGTAAAGCATGGAAAAGCTATAAATTCTGAGAATTACGTTCATCGGTGGCCCAGAGAACTCCTCCTCAGTGATCTTGAGCAGGGACCTATCTGCAATCAAGTCAAAAGAACCAAATTGAAACAAAATAACGACGGAGAAGCCCTAATTTAGTTTGGATGTTAATTGAAATAGGAAGAGGAGTTACACTGGATGGTAGAGTAAGCTGCGTGAAAGAGGATGACCACTCCAAGAACCCCGGCGGTGAACCCCAATCCCATTCTCGATTCTCCGACGGCCAGCGAGATCTCCTGTCTACGGATTCAGTGACGGCGGGGAGATCAATGATACGTTCACCCGTTTCAATCGAACCGGGTGTCTGCTTGGCCTGAGCCTCCTTCGCCCTCGGTCGTTCCTTGGTTATTAAAGTATTTATTAATGTTAGTGTTAAAATAAATCTTTTAAAGATTAGTATATAAAAAAAATTGATAAAGCTGAAATTAAACACGGAAATTTTAAAATTATTAGTCCTTAATTAATTAATAGATTATTAAAATTTAAAATTTTTCAATTAAATATAATAATTAGAATCATAAATATAAACTAATTATTATTTATATCTAACATCAGAAATAAGTTAAATATATATAATTTTAAATTTTATACTTTAAATTATTTTTAAATTTAAGTGATTAATTATTAACTTAAATATACTCAATTTTAAAATACTAAAATACATATAGTGTCAAGTACTTAATTATGTTATCGAATTAATATCAATTACAAGTCAAAAATTCTTTAACTTAAGCTTATCTGTAGAAGATAACTAATCAAATGATTCAATGTATAATTACTGCAAGCTTTCAGTTTTAAGTGATTATTGGACTAATTAAAAACCTAAATTATCAATGCTAGTTTTGTATGATTAGAAAAAATAATCAACATTAAAACCTAATAATGTCACTGTTTTCCAAATACAAAATGAAAAGTGCATCTACAGATCATAATCAAAGTAATTAAAATTATAATTTTTTAAAAATTCTAATGGATATTTTAGAAAAAGAATAATGGGCATGGTGTAACACTATAATTATCAAAACTTCATAGGATAAAAATAAGAGATAACTTCAATAATCCTATAAACTATGCCCAAATCATTAGCTAAGCCCTTAAACTTAAAAAAAAAAAGTATTTTTTCCTAAGTTTAACAGTCAGAGAAAATAATACTATGAATTTACTTATATAGCCCTGATAGAGTGGTGAAACTGCAAGTGCATTACCAAAAAAAACACTCACGTATTGCCAAAATTCCTAAAATACCATTCATTAAAATGCGAGATCGGACTAGCTAGTTGAACTGGTTAAATAGCCCATCACAGTTCACTTGACAATTTTTTTTTATTATTATATTTCTCTCTTTCTTCCTTCTATCGTAGTCATCAGTCTTCCTTGTATCTGGCGCTGTGCACTGGAAGAGGAAGGCACAACTATTGGGTGGCAAACACAAATTTGCAGAGAGGGACAAAGAGGGAAAACGATGGAAAGGGAATTAAGGGAGGAAAGAAAATGAAATGAGAACAACCAGCCTTAAAATGCAATCACAGGAAATATGTTAATGTCCTCTCGATTGCAAAAAGAACAGTAGGTTCAATCGGCTATCTGCCAGTGGCAATCGATGTAGGAAGTAGCAGAGAGAAGCGATAAGGCTGTCGGCGCCGTCGTCCCTATCAGCCGTGGTTGCCAACAGGTGGTTCTGCGACGTCGGCTTCTTCTTCTTCTTCTTCTATCTCCCTCGGAACTTCTTCTACTGTATTTCTGGTTTTCTTCTCTGTCAATGGCCGTCGATGTTTTGCCGATTTTTCTCCTAGCAGCCTTTTCTCGACCATTTTCTCTGCTTCGGAGTTTCTGGAAGCTCTATGCTGTCTCTATCTTGTTTTGTACTCTTGAATTCTTGGTCCGGTTTGTTCTCCCTTCTTTCTGTCCCAATCGGTTGCATTCTTGGCCACAGCTGGGCGCCGGCATCGGCTCGTCAGCGTCGCGCGGCTGGCCCGCCGTCGGCCAGCCTTTAGTACACCCCGATCACAGGTTCGACCCAGTCACTGGATGGATTGGCAGCCATTTAAAAAACAGAAGTGTAAACTCTAGGGTCAAATTTTCAATAGGGGCATTTTTGTCCTAAAAGTTCGAACGCTCCGTCTCCGCAAATTGTGCTTTGGTGATATTAATGAAATTTAAGTAGTCAATTTAACGGTTGATTAAAAACTTAGGAAAAAAGATTTTTTTTTTTATTTACGAGCTTAACGGATATTTAACATTGTTCTGGGTTAACGAAGTCATCCCAAAAATAATTTTATGATAAATTATAAAAGATTGTAATGCATTTTCATAATTATTATATTGGATTTGTACTCAAGCAAATCTGATGTACTTTAATTTTTAAAGTAAACCTAAAAATAATCGCCTATTTAATTTGTAAAAATGTTTTTTTTTTTTTCTTATTTTTATTTCTATATTTTGAAAGTAGTTTTATTTTAAATTTTTAATTTCAGAAAATATGTTTAGTTTAATTTATTTTTTATTTTCAAATTAATGAAAATTTATTTGGTTACTTATTTTTAGAAAATTAAAAATGAAAACTTGATTAAATAAAAACAGAATTGTAAAATTTCTAGAAATGACTTATGTGAAAAATCATAAATTTTAAAGTTTAAATTAAAACTTGAAAAGTATAAAAATTGTATTGAATGACGAGAAAGAGACAAGGAATCAAAATAAAATGTCATAAAATTTTTAAATGTATCGTCCCTTATTTCCAACTAGGTCATGGTTGGGTTTAACAGGTCTAATCGTGACTTGACTATAATCACACTTCTAAATTGTTATTTTATAAAAGATTTTCAATGTAATCTACCCTTCTTATCTAAATTACAAAACTGCTAAATCAATTTAAAAATTTATGATTCCAAGCTTGAAATTTTAATATATAGAGTAACCATCATTATTATCAGCACCACCCCGTGACCATTGATCATATATCGCATTGCGTTGGAAGGCAACATTTGTTTGTGTGTTCCAAAAGGTATAGAGAGAAAGAAGGGCAACGAAGAAATGACTATTGATTGGTGAATTTTTGCTGGCCATCTTCTTCGCACAACAAACAAATAGCTTTTGGGATTTTCTTCTTTTTTTTAATCTTTTGTGACAATGATTTTCAATAATTATATCAAAGTTTAAATGAATAATCTTTGAATCCATAGACAAATTGCTGAGGAAGAGTGCCACCGTCAGAGCCAGGGTTGCTGTTGGGAGGAGGAGAGGCAGTTAGCAACGATGCCAGGAGGAGGGAAGAGGACGGATAGCTTCCCAGGGATGGGGAGCGACATGCGGGAAGTAAAAGCAATGAAAACGTTAAAAACCCACGTATTTACATTGATGTCACTGTGTTCTCACTGTTGGTCACGAAAATTTGAAAATAACTTTTTATTATTTTCAAATCTCAGACCTTATTTTAGAAAACATTTTTATAAATAAAAATAAAAAGCACATGCCGAATCAGGCCTGTTTTCTATTTTCATTAAAAGTAAAAGCAAAAAATAGGTCAAATAAACAGCCCCTAAATTTTAAGGTTAATTTTTCGGAGTGGTATTTTTGTTCTAAAAAATAGGCCAAATAAACAGATCCTAAAATTTTAAGGTTAATTTTTCAGAGTGGTATTTTTGTCCTAAAAGTTCAATGGCTTCATGTTTGTAACTTATATTTTATTGGCATTAGCAAAATTTAAATAGTCAATATAACGGCTCATTAAAAGTTAAAAAAGATATATATTTTTTTTAATTTAAGAGTTTAACTGATAATTTTTTTTAATTTAAGAGTTTAACTGATAATTTGGACATAGTTCAGGTTAATGAAGTCATCCCAAAAATAATTTTATGATAAACTATAAAAGATTGTAATGTATTTTCATGATTATTATATTGAATTTGCACTCAGTAAATTAGATATATTTTAATTTTTAAAATAAATCTAAAAAAATTAATTAATTATAAATTAATATTATCCTACCAACCAAGCTTTTATAAGTATAAAATAATATATACATGATTTATTTTAATAAACAATTTAGGTGAAGAATAAATTAATGGGAAATTTTAATTTTGAAGCAACATAATTAAAGAAATGTGTGCCACATGCAACTAGCTGGGCAACACATGGGGCTGCCTTTGCTTTCGGTACAGGTTTTCTAAGTTCCAAGCAAAGCAAAAGGAAGTGCCTGGTTATAAAGCAATTAAATTAAACTTCTGATTTTATTATTTTAAATTGCGCTGAACAACCAATCACGTGAGACTCAACCCAACTTTAATTGCCAAAAAAAGATACTGAGATTAATAATTAAAGATTTAGAGTTGAGATGATGTATTTGAAAATTTAATCAGTGCAATAGATAAATCCTTTTTTGTGTTTTGGATTAAACATGGAATTGAAAATCAAGTTAATCACCCTACTTATGAATCTTATTTCCCAATAAACAAGAATGCAATAGAAGAAATTATCAAACTTCCAAGTATTTTTAGTAACTGTTTGCTTTGAACTTCTCAAAAACTAATATGTTCTACTTTTTTTCAATCAAAAATGAAAGTTAATAAACAAAACCAAACAAGGCCTACATGAAAATTCATGATCAGAAATTCAGATGTGCAACTTTCACATCACAATTAATCAATAATCATAAATGTGGCGTGCATTGAAAAATAATAAAAAGAATCTCACTTGTTTGGAATTTTGTCGAAGATAGAAAGGGACTTGAAAGATGATACCTGAGAAGAAATTTCCTCCAAGCCACTGTACACAAATTTCTTATCCCAATTGATGACAAGGAATAAAGCAACAAATGCTTTTTTCTCCCCTACCCACACTTACTTTTTATTATTTTTGTAAAAGAATAAAATTTAAATGAAAAACAAAAAGTTGATTGTGCTTGGATTTAACTTTTCTCGAAAGGATTGTTTGGATTGACAATATGTTCATTAAAAGCAAAGGTGAACTCTTCTTCAAATGTTGATTCGTGTGTCTTCAAGTTTGCCCATTTGAATGGGAAATGCTCAGCTCCAACTCCACATTCAACCTTTGTTACTTAAGTGACAATCCAAGCTTGAGTAATCTATCCTTATCTTGTCCACGCATGGACAAATGGTTAGCCCAAATAAAATCCAAACCTATTGCCAACCCAAACATGTCTTAAGTGTTTAAAGCAAACTTGGTTAAAGAATTTATCTTTGACAAGAAATGTCAGAGCTTTATATGTGCAAGAAGATTTGGACATCCTGATACTTGTTTTCTGTGAAATGTTCAGAATTTTGATACATTTGCCAAACAAGTCCCTGTGTTTCCCTGCTTTTGGAAACAATGGTGTATGAGACTTTCTGTTTTTAATTTATCTTTTTTTTGTGGGTTTCTCAAAAAATAAAAGAAAACGTGAATTTTAAAAATGTTTATCATATTTCTTTATGTCTCTCATTCAAGCTAAAGTAATTTTGGTAAATTTATGAAAACAATAAAATGGTTGTTTTCTTACATAGAGATATTCTTGAAATTGGTTTTTATATTTTCTATTTTTGAGTTAACATAAAATAAAAATAAAATAATTTTAGTTTAAAACAACATCCCTTTATTTAAGTTGAAAAATTAGATATGTCATTTTTAATGTAGAAAATGATAGCCTATTATAAAATTATACTTAAAAGAGAATACTTTTTATATATTAGTTTGTCGTATCGTATGATATAAAAATTTTATATTCACATTTGAGGTATGAATATATGTCACCTTTGGATGAACTATCAATAATGTGCCACTATTTGTTCTTATCATATTTTTTTTCATTATCATGTACCGTCTAAAGTAAACTTTGAAAACTTCTAAAAACAATAAAGTGATTATTTTCTTTTATAGAGATATTTTTATATAATGTCTTTGAATTTGATTCTTTTTTATTAACACAAATTTTTAAAAAATGCAAACAGTCTTGATGTGAAATTAAAAATTAATTGCAATAAAATTCTCGTTTAAATTATTATAATAACAATAACAAAAGTGTCTTTTGACATGTACGTTGTTATTTTAGTTTTTTAAATATAGAAAATATCTTTTAACATTACGATTGTTATTACAATTTGCTAAATATAAAAAGTTAGGTATGATGTCCACGTCTTTCTTTTCAATTTTGATGTACAAAAAAAATGTGTTATTCAATAATATTGCATTCATAACTAAATATTAATAATATGTTTTAAGTTTTATATAACATTATATAGTTAAAAAATATTTTTTTATTTTAAGTTTTATATAACATAATGTTTAGAAATATTTTTTATTATACAAAAATTACTATTTGTTTAACAAAATATGAAAGTACATAGTTTTCTTCTTGTTTCTAAGAAAGAAGCCATAACACAAGTTGGTGACGAGATGCGTAGGGTAATAGTTGTTCTTATTTTCAAGGAAGAAGCCAACACACAAGTTTTCGCCACGCGTTGAGTTCTGCGAGTGGATAGGGAGAAGAACGTCGCAGATGGAGAAACAGCGACGTGTGTAAACAAGAAGTTTTATTTTGGGGTTAGGGCACGGGTTTGGGTGTGGGTGTGGTGTGGGTGTTAGTGTGGGTCTGGGTCTGGGTTTAAAACATTTGAAAGCCATTGACGTCTTTCTCTTTTTTTGGTCTGATTCGTTTTCTCTCTCTTCAACTCTCTTCGTTATTGGTATTCAACCTTCTCCCTCCATCTCTCTGTAAGCCTTCTCCCCGCGCCCCTCCCCTCTTTTCTTTCAGTATAAACGTGCAAAGCCTGCTTAATTTTGGAGGCACATGAAAAAGTGAATTAGATCTTAGGGTTCTGTTTTTCGGGTTATGTTTAAGTGCTTAGCTGTTTGACTCGGAATCCACTTGGTTGATTTGTTATTTTTATGCTATTTACGGGTAATTGGCTGTCTTGGAGGGTAATTTGATTTGGGTTTTGGATGATTAGCTTTTGTAGGTGGTTTGAAAACCCTTCTTGGTGCGTTTCCATTTCTTCCCATTCGTGCAGAGTCGGCAATCTGATATATATGTTATGATACATTTTTTTGTGCAATGTATTTCTTTTGCTGGGATATTTGTCTATGTTTAGTATCGGTGCTTAAATTTTTTGTTCTTGCAATTACCCTGTGTGACTGTATCATGTAGGTCTGCAAATCAGTACTAGACATCCCTATTTTCAAATACATCGTGGAATTTAACAAAAGGAACTTGCTATCTCAGGGCAGCACTGGACGAGTTAGGCAATATAGGATCTTAGTTATTGGCCTGAGCTTGCCTTTCATCTTTATTGGATGCACGGAGTGGGTCGTTATATTTGGATTTTATCTTGGTATCCTGGCATCTCTTTTAATTGTTCAGGAGAGCATATACAGATTTCCAGAGATTGCTTTCTAGGTTACCTGTGATCACATTTTCAAATGATAAAAGAACTTTATTCAACTAATTCAAACATGTGAATTTTCTGGGTAGAATTGCTTTTCATTTAGGTCGTGTTTCTAGCTTCAATATTCCGCCCTTTTTCTTTATGTTTATATTACAGAGATACTGATGGAATTTGGCCGTGGTTTATGGTTTTAGTCAGTTATTTTCAGGTAGGTGTGTTAGAGATGCATTTGTTTGATCTTTTAGGCGTTTGATCTCATAATAATGTGATGCCCTTGTATTGTTTATATGGTGTATTTTCAGATATCAAGTCACCTTTACATTGTTGTTGGTCACTAATTTGGAGACAATGGTCTATTGTTTCAGAGTGTGTAGCTGAATGGGCATGGAAATTTAGCATTCTTTTGATGTCTTTAATGTGAAAATGGAACCGCATGTCTCATTGGACTGTGAGGTACATCTTCATCCTGAGAATGTCCTAATTAAGGACAGTGATTGTGATACAACTGGTGCTTCTCAAAACCATGATGCACAACAGCCAGGTTAGTTTCTGGAATTTATTTATTTATTGCTCACAGAGGTGCTTCGACTAAGTTCCTTATTTGATTGAGATTTGACACCGGCAAAATATGCCTCTTAATGGAGTCCATTTTTTAACGCAGTGAAAAAACAAACAAGGCAATGGGCTGCTTGGACACGTCAAGAGGAGGAAAGCTTCTTCACTGCATTACGCCAAGTTGGAAAGGCATGTCTTTGCTTACAATGTTGCACTGTTTTGGATATATGGAATGTTTTCTTAGATAATAACCTGATTTCAACATATGATTCATTTTAACAGAATTTTGAGAAGATCACCTGTCGTGTTCAAAGTAAAAACAAGGATCAGGTAATTTGCTTTAATATTAAATTTCTAAATGTTCTAATTTGGTAGAACTCTTAAGCTTTTGATTGCTTTGTTAATTGGTATACCAATGTTTCTATTATGGTATTTTGCAGGTCAGACATTATTATTATCGCCTTTTGAGGCGTATGAACAAGTTACTGGGTCCTGGGCTTTGTCTTGATGCCAAAAACTCTAAAGATACCAATGCTGCAATGCTTCGATGGTAAGTAGCAGTTACATCCTTAATTCATGTCTATCTTTTTACATTGGAAGAAAACTGTTTTTCTCCCTTACAAGCAACTAGATGTCTGATTGATTTATTTAGCATTTTGGTGCATGACTTATGTGTCATCAGTTTGCTAGATGGTAGTTTTGTTAGCAATTCATTTGGTGATGATCTTTTTGTTGGTCTGTAAGCCAAAACTGAAAGCTCATAAATGTTAGTTAACTGAATAGCTGTTGGAAGAAGGTCCTTGGGAACTAAAGTCTGGAATTAGAAGCACATAAGCCTGTATCCAGACGAGTTATTAACATGGTTTCCTGAAGCACTTTATTTTATTTTTTCCACCGACATTGATGAAGGTTAACTTGAATTGAATTTTAAGGTGAGCAACTAGAATATAAATTTCTGCTTATTCTTGAGTAACTTTTGCAGCAACAGTTGCTTATGTGCTGTAAAACTACTTTATAATTAACTATTGCTGCCACTATGTTAGCTTTGGTTCACTTTCAATCTACACGTTCAACTGCTTGCTTTGTGTTACATGTTTAAATGTCAAATACAGTTATACACATGCACATGGTTAGTCTAGTGGTGCCATGTGGATATGTGGTGGTGGTTCCATGTCCTATAGGAATTTGGAATCTAATTTCTGATGGTGATATAAGTAATCGACTCCAACCTGTAGCTGGCCATAACTAATCTTAGAGCTAGGTAATGCATGCTTTTGTCAGTTTTCCCAATCAGTATCTGATGCATATGCATTTTAAGCCATTCCTTACTACCTTGTATAAGAAACATCTTGGTGTTTATATCACATCCCTATAAGTAAGTCATTAAGTATTGAAGAGAAGCTTCATAGGCATGAAAGTCTTTTTATGGGATATTCACCTCATGTGATTGGATCTCCTTGTTTGTACTTAATTATCATATGACCTATGTTACAGGTGGTCTTTACTTGAAAAGTACAGCTGTAAAGCCTCAAAACTTCACCTGAAGCCTCGAAGGTTCAAGTTATTTATAGAGACCTTGGTTAGTTGCCATTGTTAATGCTCATTTGTTGTTTCCTTTATGTGAACCTGTTTATTTTTGTAAATATTGAACTGGTTTTCCTTGGGATGAAGGAACATCAACTCTTGAAAGACCGAAAAAAGAGTAAAAGGAAACGTCCATCTCAGGGGAAAATTGTTCTTCCTCAGTTCCAACCTCAAATCAAGGCAGAACATCAGGACATGACGTTCATGCAGTTAAATTAGTCCTTCTTGATGGGCAGAATGTACAAAAATTAGGTTCTGGAAAAGGATCTTCAGTGAGGCGCAGTATAAATGTAGGAGCAAATTGTAACAACTGCAAGGCGGATGCTTCCCCCCCAAAACAGTGCGGCAGAGGCGGAAAACAGGTGATTTTTGAATTCATGTTACTTAATATTGTTGTTATTTTCATATTTCTTTTGCAAATGTGCATTTAGAATGCAAGAGCACATTTGTTGACTGTGTTTTATTGCAAACATTGTTAGAATATGATGCTGGCCAAGGTCAAGTTAGAATTCAGTATGGTCCTTTCACTTTGTGGATTTCTGTTTATTTCATTCAACAAATGGAGATATTAATTCTTCCTTACTAGGAACTGAATGGAGGCACTAATCCATCAGTGCATATTCAATTGTTTACTTTACAATGGATATAGTGAACATAGGACACACATAAATTCATGTTTGTAATACACGATATTAGATGAAATTTGGCTTCAAAAACTTAAGAGTTGTATATACCACTATAGTGATCCCATTATCTGGACTAGATAGCTGTCCCATTACTGAGTTGGAAAAAGTTTGGGGAGTCAACCTATCAAGGTTTAAAGAAGTTTATTTAGAAGTTTACTCTCTTGAATAAAGTCCACGGGGACATTGGTTCCTTTTTTTAAAAAAATTTAATTTAGAGACATAAATTTTAAGTGAAATTTGGAAAGTTATTGGCAATATTCTTTTGGAAAATCCAATTGCAAGTGAAGTGCAGAGGAACTGATGTCATTGTCAATTGAAGATGATGCTAATCCAATGTTGGAAATTGAAGAGGTGATTCCATGGGTTTGTTCAATGCTAAGGCTATGTATCTTGCTAGATATGGAATCAGTAGGCGGGTGCCACTAGAGTGTACCAACTGCAGTCCAACCTAGGGTGTAATGGCAGGAAGTCAATGAAGCAGTCTCAGTATCATTGTCCAAGGATCGAACTTGGAACCTGTCACCGAACTCAGCAGGAATTGAGCCTTCTGACTGCTAGGCTGCCACCTGTTTTGGTGAACATAAGGTTATCAATTTTTTACTAGTAGTGAACCTATATTAAGGGGAGTAATGGGAATGAGATAAGCTTTGCTGCAGATCAGCTTTATCTTTGTCACTTTTTAGACTTGGATGGAGTACAAAGAGCAAAAAGAGAAGATTTGAATCTATTAACTCCAGAAAAGAGAAATTGTATAACTCATTTAGCCTTGTAAGGAACTTATGTATTTGTTTAGTTTTCCATGCTGGAAATGCTTGACAAAGCCTAATCATGGAGTTTGTATGAACAGGTGTTAATGAGGTATGGGAGGGGCTGAACCTCATATTACCTTGAAACTTCATGTGCTGCTTTTGCATCTTTAAACTCAATTCTCTAGGATTAGAAAATTAAATGACATCCCTTTACTTGGTGCTTATATTGTGATCATCAGGGATTGAAGATTTCTGCAGGCTAAATCAAAAGAGTAATATAAGTGACTTGCATTACAATATAATTCTTCAAATAATGTTCAGTTGGGGCATATTATTAAATGGCTTGCCTATAATTTATCAACTGAACCAACTTGTGGTAGTTGGTCTCATCATAAATACTTTCATGCCATTGAATTTTTATTTTTCCATTTCCGGTTGTCTTCTGATTTTTCTCTAACAATTTTTGCTGAATGTTTGGCAGGTCCTACCTCGACGGCTGCATATAAGAAATGGGAAAAGGCTGCAATTGCTGGAGTTTCATTGGTTGCTGATGCTGCCGAGCATTTGGAGCGAACTACCATGGATAAAGAGGTTGATATACAAGGTATGCTAGTTAAGTACATCCACAGAGTAATTGATAGCTAGCAGGTTGAATTTTTTCTGCCAGTGGTATACTTGGGTAGGAATAAGTAGGAGGACTGAGTGATTCCTAGACACAATCTAATTCATTCATATCTACATTTCAGTGCAAAAGCCTTTTGTTCCTGTGGGAAAAGACTTCCCTACCTTGCCAACTTCTTTGCCAAATTCTTTGATTGATGGTAACATGCAAAGTTCTAATAAACTTAAGCTTCAGTTGTTCCCAATTGATGAAGTTACCAGAAGAGCCTTGGAAATGGTAAGTATGCAAGGAATTATACCATTGCATTCGACTTAGGATGTTCAAAATGTTTTGCCAAAGTAAAGAGACCCCCCCCCCCCCTTCCAGGATAATCACAATCCACATCTGGAGCTTACATTAAGTACTCGGAAGAAGATATCATCAGTTTTGGAACATCTCAATCGCAAGTGGGGAAATTCAAGTGTGGCATCTGGAGAACTAATTCTCTTTCCTTATTCAGTTCAAAGAGAAAACCTGGTGGGTTATCAGAGATGGACTCAGGACTCTGTTCTTAGTGCAGCAGATGTATATGCACTGATTGGGAGCCCTTCAATTTTCCGCCTAAGGTTTCTTCCTTCATTCATGTATTCATTCTTTCTAATTTTATTAGGTTTGTGACACTAACTTAGATTTTTTTAGGTATGGCTGGTTTCCCAGTGGAGAGCTTGTGTCATCAACACTGCAAGCACCTTTAATGTCATCTAGCGTGGTTCAGAATGTTAATATGATTTCCAACAATATGGAGGAACAGCATAAGGATTCTGTAGAAATTACCACACCACCTGCAGTGTGCCCACCTGAGAAACTTATTAATCACAACAATAAAGAACAAGAGGTATCTCGGGCAGGAAATGCCATAGTGGTACACTCGTCCATGGAGATGCCTAATGGGATTGTTAGGTGCATCGGCATGGATGCCAACAATCATTGTCAAGAATCTTTTGATGGGGCAGCATCTGTGCCATGGGACAAAAGGGAGACTGGGAACGGAGCTGTTTTAGGGGAAGAGGAGAATAAGGTGATAGTTTTTTCTCTTCAGACATCATGCTAACAAATATTTTGATTTGAAATGGGCATGAAACAACACAAATTTGCATAAATCGTTAAAAAACCCTGATTAATGAATAACTTAAATGTATAAATGTATGAAGCATGGTGAACATAGTATTGATAATTGAATAGCATTTTCCATCCTATGATTCCTATCCTTCTAGGCATGTCAACTTTGTATGTTGCTGTACTGTTACAGAATAAGTTCCTTTTTTTTTTTTTGTTTTTTGGGTACCTCTAAAATGCCATTGCCGCAGCTGTGTCTGCATATTTTTGCCTGAGTTTGTTAATTTTTCTTCCTTTTTTGGAACTTGGGATATTTTAATTGAACTATGACTAGCATATTATTTCACATTCTATGTTCTTCGGATTTTCAACGTCAATGACCTTTTGTTATGCGCTGAAATAGCCTGGTTTTGCTCATGTAGTATACTTTAGGCAGACTTCCTTTGTTGCTTATTTGGTTTAATTTCTTTGAGACCTTATCTACTTGACTGCCTGATTCTTTTTCTAGTTTTTGTCAATGTTTTGGGAGTGATGACATATTAATTGACAAATGCCTTCTTTATATTTGCCATATGTCGTTCATCTGTCCTTTTGTCTTTGTTGAAGCTTTTTTTTAAAAAATTTTTTAAATTTTCTCTTCTTTCTATTTAAGAGGGAAAGTTCCTGAATTTCTAAGGAAAGTTCACTTAATAAAAAATTGTAATCCTGCAATGAAAGAATTTATAGCATTTAACTGATTTTCAATTTTCTTTGAACTGTCAACATGTTGCAACCAGTTCTGTGGTCAGAGAAGTAATCGGCTGTAATGGTTTTCTTTTTCCATTTTTTTTATTGCATTTCTAAACTATTGATGATCCTTTTTACATAGGATGATATGCGGTTAAGAAAGAGGTCCACGCTGTCAGCTGGGGAGTGGGCTGATAGCCTTACCAACATTAGTGTTGGTGATTTACTCTCAGAGGTGGCCCATAATGCAGTCCCTGATAATGTTGATCCACCCCAGCCAGGAAGCTCAGAGTGTCTTCAGCAGGGTCCATTTAGTTCCGACTCATTTGATGCTGCAATTGCTGCTCATATATACAAACATCAAAATAAGACTGGCTTTCAGCCTGCTGTGGCATCTCATGCATCTTCCATTTGGGATGCTGAAGAAACATGTGACGCCTTCTCTTTCAGAAACATTGTTCTTCAGGAGGAGGGGCCTAGCACATCTGCAATTACTTCTTCAGATGCCTGCAAGCAGATTCTGAGAAAAAGTTTAGTGGGATCTGGCGCTGCAGTTCAGGTTTTATATAACCTAATTGTGTTACATTCAATTTGGTTGGTCTGCTCTTTTGGAGCGATATTTTTCTTGTGGAAGCAATTATATCTTATGTTCCATTTTCTTCCAGGATTTGCCTGAAGCGGAGGTGCCTATGGATGACAAACCTCTAGATGACGAACCTGTAGATAAAAATAGCAGTGAAGTGCTAGATGAGGATGATGATCTTTCTAATGAAGACCCAATGGATGAATGCCTTCCTGATACACCTATCCTGGAAAGCTCTTCAAAGGATCTGAATGGGCTGACAGATATATACTGGGTATCTCTCTTAATTAATGATGGTTCTTTCAAGTTCTGGAATAGATACCCTGCTGTAAATGATTGCATATGTTCTATAGTAGGATGCCTAATGTGGTTTTTAACATATTGCAGCCTGACTCATTAGGACCGCTAGATTTGGACATGCCTTCCACCAGATATCATTCGGAAGATCTAATTCTAAGTGATAGCCTCAGTAGCTTTAACCGTCTACTTGCCAGCAGTCTCGATGCATTTCAGAATTGCTCAATCTTCGGATTAGATGAGAGAAATGACATCAAGGGTTGAACCTCCAGAGACTGCTTGCTTTTTGGATTATAAAGTTGGCAGCGCGGTTTGAGTTTTCTGAGATTATCCCTATAAAATAGACTTATGGGAGAACATTTTGGGTGACATGAAAGGAGTTGTGGAAGAGGCATTTGAGAGGCAAGACCAAAATGGTTCTGGAATGTTGTTGTCTGGTCTGATATGAGCTTCCCCCGTGTTGTACAAGAAAGAGAGAGATGCCCAGAAACTAGTTCACAAATTTCTATTCCATCTTCTCTCATTGTTATATTACTGTAAATTGGGTTTCAAAAGCTGTGAATGTGCAGACCCAAAACATACATAGAACTTAGGTAAATAGTTTCGGGCTATGTTCGGGGAGAAAAAAGTTGACTCTTGAACCGCTGATCCTTAATGCCGATTGCCTTATCATTAAATTCATAAATTGGGAAGAAAAATGTTAAATAATGCTTCTTCTTTCTAGCCTTATCCATTTGTGGAGATGCTCGAGAACTCGAAATTTGTTCATTTTGGAAATAAAGAAATAGAAGAATTGGAAGTTAAGAATCAAGATTGCTTGCTTTCTCTTGATTTTAACTGAAACATGGGCGGGAAAAATAAAGTGCAACCTCATTTAAAGCTTGAATATTCGTTTTACTGTTTTATTCCCTTGCTTCAACGAGATGAAAAGGACACGATTCCACTCTTTCCTTCCTGCAGAAAAGTAAATCTTCAAAGCATAAAGTAGAAGTATAATCTCCTGGAGTTAAGCATAAAGTCAGCAAAGCAATGGGTTTGATCTGGGTTGATCTCTTATATAATCTTTATGCCTTCACCCATAAGTAACCTGTTAAACCTTCTTATTTGGCAATATTTACAAATTAAACATTCTGAAAACTCACTAAAACGCTCTCTATTATGTCAGATCTTTTTGGCAAAATTAATTTAACAGAGTAGAAAGTTTTTTGAATTTTGGCCGAGGGGTTTATTTAATTTGGTCTAAGGTAATTACTTCTGGTATAGGCTATAAGAAAATATATTGAATTATCTAGGCAAAAATTGCCCATTGCTAGAGTTTTACTATGGTTCTTTTCAACGAGCATTTTACTATTTTTACTTATTTATTTTAATATATAACTAAAATGGTATTATTATATAATATAAAATAAGGTAAGTTTTGAAGAGAAAAGTTAATAAATTACACATATAATTTTTAACTTTCTACATTTTTCTCGCATTAAATTGCATTTTCAACCTCTTGCATATAAGTCAATGTATCATATAAAATGGTAATTATAGTAGTTATTATTTCAATCATTCTAGGTACATGAGTATTTATTTTTTTTCAATTGAGTTATTAGTCATATTTGCTAAATATTTTATGTTATTTAGATTCTTTAATTTTTATTTTTTTGTATCTTATTAGTAAGTATATTTATTTAATTATATCTAATATTTGAAAATAAATTAACCAATAATGAAGGCAAAAAACACCCCGCAATACAAACTTAGGGTTTAGAAAATTCTAGACATTCAAAACAGAAAATAGTAGTTGTAGTCATGTTTGACATTTCACACCTTCCTCACCAAATATTTATTCTTTCAAAACCTTTTATTTGTTTAGAAAAATAATTAACATTCATCTTCCCAAAAAATAAAAAATTAATTAACCATAAAATATTCTGTATTTTTTCCAATTTTTTAGATATATAAGTGATGCAACGATATTGATTAACATATAAGCATATTATATATAGTTTTTCAAAGTAGTTTATTTGGCTAGTGGCATATATCTTTAGTTAAAAAACGGTACCTTCTCAATACAAGAAAATAAATATTATATATATTTTGCACTTCCTATTCAATCAGATTAGCCTTAATATTTGGAAAAAGAAAACATATATAATGTAGAATAAAGGTTTAAATTTCCTCCAATAAATTAATGAATCGTTTTATTATTAAATGTTTACTTAGTTGCATGTACAAAAATTGTTATATGATCATTTGTCCAGTAGTGCGAGGAAAGTTTAGTTGTGATGGAAATGGCATAGAAAATCGCTATGCCAGGTGGGAAGAACAAACGTATCTGAAATAAAAATTGCAAAAAATAGAAGAAACCTTCTTTCTGAACAAGAAACGGAGTCTTTCGCTATAAATACTCGATCGACAAACCAGCCAGGTCCGGATTTCTCAATTTCTCAATACCCATTAAGCTCTCTCTCTCTGTTTCGTTTCCTCGCAGCTCTTTGGTTTCTAACTTATTGAAGATGAGTAACCAAGCTGAATCATCCGACTCGTGAGTAGCAATTTTCCCAGATCTTTATATGTTCAACCATATGCATTTATTTAGGACTGTCTATGCGTAGGTATGTTTGCATTGTTTGGTCGTGTTGCTTCTGTTCTGAGGTTTTTGGTTTTTGATTCTATTCTTGCAGTAAAGGAACAAAGAAGACTTCAGTACTGCTATTCTGGAGCGCAAGAAGGCCCCCAATAGGCTCATTGTTGAAGAAGCTGTCAACGATGACAACTCCATTGTCGCGTTGCGCCCTGACACATTGGAGAAGCTTCAAGCTCTTTCGTGGCGACACTGTTTTGATCAAGGTTCGAATTGATGTTGCTTTTTTTTTTTTTATATATAAATTTTTGGTTTTGGATTAGTCAGAATGTGCTTGGAGTTTTGGGTTAGGGTTTTGGCATGAGGGATAATATCGGATTCTTACAACCATTATTGGAATTGCCTTTTGTGGGTTCAAGGTCTGGAATTGGAGATTTGGGTCTGTTGTGGATGTGCAAAAGGTCAAAATTTTAACCAATGACCTTTCTTGTTTTCACCGGACTACCAGGGTATTAACATGGACTTGTTCCTGAGTTTTACAATTAGGATTTGTTATGCATAGCGGTTACCTTTTTTGTATACTGGCTACATACCAAGGCTTGGCATGCATTGCAGTTAGATAATCCCGTTTGCGTTGTGTACATACTGCGCACTTGAATATAGGGGCTGACACTCCATCAATTAGTTACTTAATGATGAAAGCGAACAGTTAAATGAACTTGGACAAGAATTTTGATTGAAGACTGATGGAGAGCTAGTCAAATGTTTGGCTTTGTGCGGTGATTATTAGAATCAAGGAATTTTGCCCGCAGATTATCTCTTCATGTGCATCTGCGAATGAATTTCATTTTTACAGAAAAAATCTGTCCCATCTTTGGGGGCTTGCAATAAATATGGACATGATGTTTATGCTTTGCCTGTTTTTCTCTCACATAAAATTCTTGCACATATGACTTGATGCCTTGTGGTTTCTTATATTTTTGGGTTCCTTCACCAATCCAAAGTTACATATATTTAGCTTGGAATTGTACTTAAGTGTGTGCATCTTCAGTGTGGATTATTTGTAGGGGTATATTTTGGTCTTGAATAGTTGATTCTCAAAAGGTTTGGCAGACCTCATGGCCATGCTCTCTGTGGGTTCTAAATTTTAACTTCATATTTTTCCTTCTGGTTCTCAGGGAAAGAAAAGAAGAGATACAATCTGTATTGCACTTGCTGATGACACTTGTGATGAACCAAAGATTAGGATGAACAAAGTTGTTAGATCCAACCTGAGGGTCAGACTTGGTGATGTAGTTTCTGTTCATCAGTGTGCTGATGTCAAATATGGGAATCGGGTGCACATTCTTCCTGTGGATGACACTATTGAAGGGTTACTGGAAATATATTTGATGCCTACTTGAAGCGTAAGTTTCTAAATTCGAACCATCTATCTTGATTTTTCCCTGTGATTACTATAAAAGACAATTTGCAATCAGCCTTAGTAGTTTTTGTCGTTGTGGCATCTTAATTCAAACATTCAATATGTCAGAACTTTATCATTGATGGACATTAATTCAAACATTCAATATCTCAACATTAGTATCATTTGTGCTGACATAACTTGGTCTTTGTCGGAGTTTTGAATCAATCTAACTGCAGTAGTGAGGAGGGCATGATATACGTTATAGTTGCTCTACTATGAGTACCGCCTCACATGTTTGAAATGCTACTGACACATTGACGTTGTCACTAGTCTCTAAAAGGGAGAATTTTTCTTCTCTGTCTAGCAAGAAAATAATCTGTAAACTGTTGAAGCCTTTGTTGGATTAGTAAGGTGCTGTGCTTATATCTCTTTTGGTCTGCATTGTCTGCAGCTTATTTCCTGGAAGCATACCGTCCTGTGCGGAAGGGTGACCTCTTTCTTGTAAGGGGAGGAATGCGAAGTGTGGAATTCAAGGTTATTGAAACTGATCCTCCAGAATACTGTGTTGTTGCCCCTGATACTGAGATCTTCTGTGAAGGAGAGCCTGTGAAAAGGGAGGATGAGGATAGGTTGGATGAGGTTGGTTATGATGATGTTGGTGGAGTTCGTAAACAGATGGCACAGATTCGTGAATTAGTGGAGCTTCCACTAAGGCATCCTCAACTTTTCAAGTCAATTGGTGTCAAGCCCCCGAAAGGAATTCTACTCTATGGACCTCCTGGATCTGGAAAGACTTTAATAGCACGAGCTGTTGCTAATGAAACCGGTGCTTTCTTCTTCTGTATTAATGGACCAGAGATTATGTCGAAATTGGCTGGAGAGAGTGAAAGCAATCTCAGAAAAGCATTTGAGGAAGCAGAGAAAAATGCACCTTCCATTATCTTTATTGATGAGATTGATTCAATTGCTCCCAAGCGTGAGAAAACAAATGGAGAAGTTGAGAGGAGAATTGTTTCCCAGCTTTTGACACTTATGGATGGACTTAAATCACGTGCTCATGTTATTGTAATTGGTGCCACAAATCGTCCTAACAGCATTGATCCTGCCTTGAGAAGGTTCGGTCGATTTGATAGGGAAATTGATATTGGTGTCCCAGATGAAGTTGGGCGTCTTGAGGTTCTGCGTATCCATACAAAGAACATGAAGCTCTCTGATGAGGTAAGATCAAATATGTGTGCATGCACAAACACGTGATATAATGGAGTTTTGAAAATTTTCATTTAAAAGGAGATTCTTTTTTCTTAAATATTTTTCTAAAATGCTATTTGATTTATTTCAGGTTGATTTGGAAAGAATTGCTAAAGACACACATGGTTATGTTGGTGCTGATCTAGCAGCCCTGTGCACTGAGGCTGCACTTCAATGTATCAGAGAGAAAATGGATGTGATTGATTTGGAAGATGAGTCTATAGATGCAGAGATACTCAACTCCATGGCTGTTACCAACGAGCACTTTCAGACTGCTCTTGGTACAAGTAATCCCTCTGCTTTGCGCGAAACTGTAAGTAGAGTTAGTACTTACCTTTTTGTGCCAGAGTTTATTCCTTTTAGATTCCATTTTGTTCATGAGGTCTAATGATGAATGGTTTCATGAGGCAGGTTGTTGAGGTGCCCAATGTCAGTTGGGATGATGTTGGAGGCCTAGAGAATGTAAAGAGGGAGCTTCAAGAGGTAAGTAAACTAGTTGTTCTTTCATTTCTGCTACCTTACTTGTATTCTGTTTGCTATTTGACAAAATTCTTCTGCTTGTTGCCTCTTCTGTGATTTAGACTGTTCAATATCCTGTGGAACATCCTGAGAAATTTGAGAAGTTTGGTATGTCTCCGTCAAAGGGTGTTCTTTTCTATGGTCCTCCTGGATGTGGGAAAACTCTATTAGCCAAGGCTATTGCCAATGAATGTCAAGCAAACTTCATCAGTGTAAAGGGTCCAGAATTGCTTACCATGTGGTTTGGAGAAAGTGAGGCTAATGTCCGAGAAATATTTGACAAGGCTCGACAATCTGCTCCTTGTGTCCTATTTTTTGACGAGCTTGACTCCATTGCTACCCAGGTTAGTTTGTTGATTCAGATGGAAAAATGATTGTAATGTTTATGCTGTTGTGGTTGCTTATGCAGTTGTATCTATCTCATGCAGAGAGGAAGCAGCGTCGGAGATGCTGGGGGTGCCGCAGATAGGGTTTTGAACCAGCTTCTTACTGAAATGGATGGAATGTCTGCTAAGAAAACTGTTTTTATTATTGGGGCAACCAACAGACCTGATATAATTGACCCAGCACTTTTACGTCCTGGCCGTCTTGATCAGTTGATTTATATTCCTCTGCCCGACGAGGAGTCTCGGTACCAGATTTTCAAGGCGAATCTGCGGAAATCTCCTGTTTCCAAAGATGTTGATTTACAAGCACTTGCCAAGTATACTCAAGGCTTCAGTGGTGCTGATATTACGGAAATATGCCAACGTGCATGCAAATATGCCATTAGAGAGAATATTGAGAAGGTATGTTTTGAAACTTTCCTTAAATGTTATACGCCTTCCATCTCTCTACCTTTATTAAGTTTATTTTGTGTGTGTGTGTGTGTGTCCCTGCTGGTGAACATGCCTTTCAGATGTGGCTTCTGATGTGGGATGGTTCCATCCATTCCTTGGAATAATATGGATGCAATATCTAAATTTAACTAAATCGAAGCAATCCATCCGGTGGATACGGAATTATATCTATTGCATAGATATATTGCTTTAAAATATATAAGACAGACCTAATAATTACCAATAAGAGCATTATTAATTTATGCTTGACCTGTTCTTCTGTGCCTTGTGTCTGAAGACAGTTTAGCTTGTAGCTCACTTCCTGTGGAAGCATTGAATTGGTCAATGCTCTGTCACCAACTTTCTCTATTGCCATCTCAACCCAGTTGACTTCTCTTTATTTTATTTTTATTCATTTTTAGTATGTCAAGCCAAGGCCAAAAATTTGTTCTTTATTTTCAACATTAGTTTTAGTGTCAGATCAAAAAGGGAAGGGAAAAAGGTTTAGAAAGTTAACTGCAAAATAGGAACTCAGCCTTTCCATGGCCATGTTAGATGGCTTTGAACACTGGAAATTCAGGGATTCACCACTACAGATGATGAAAAGCTTCGGTATAATACTGACAATGAGAATATTAAGGCCTAAATTTACACGTTGCAGGATATTGAGAGGGAAAAGAGGAGAAGAGAAAACCCTGAGGCTATGGAGGAAGATATTGATGATGAAGTAGCTGAGATCCAGGCCGCCCACTTTGAGGAATCAATGAAATATGCTAGAAGAAGTGTTAGTGATGCTGATATTCGCAAGTACCAGGCATTTGCTCAAACTCTGCAGCAGTCTAGAGGGTTCGGGTCTGAGTTCCGATTTTCAGAAACAAGTGCAGATGCTGCAGGGTCTGATCCATTTGCTGCCTCTGCTGGTGCGGCAGATGGAGATGACCTGTATTGTTAAGTTTCTCCTAGGAGGCGTGCGTTTGTTCCTGTTTGTCATATGTTCTGTTAGACATTTCTTACTAGTTACGTATTTATGTAATTTTTGCTTGCTTTTCATATTGGAGAAAATAGAATAAAATCTCATTTAAGTCATTATTATCACACCCTACAACCATGTTTCTTCCTTAGTCTCTTGCCTCAACGAGATTTGAATGGCGTGATCCCCACCTATATCTTCCTGCAAAGGTAAAGGGAAAAAGTCCGGGCATAAAGCAAAGTACTATCTCTTGGAGCTAAGCATAAGCGAGCAAAGCAAATGAGTTTGCCGAATTCTGTATTAAATTATCTTTACCAATGTCTACTTTTTGGTGAGATCCGAGATGAAAAAGTGAAGAAAATGATATTTGAGAAGCAAATTGTCAAGGGGAAATCACTCTAGACAAGCATAAGGCCAATTTTACTCTGTTCACGTGCGGTATTTATGCACCAATCTGAATATGCAAGTAAGTTTTATTGGAGTTTGATTCTGAAAGAGGTGAAAATAGAGAATAGGGAACATTAAGGAGGAAATTTTTCTCCTCTTAACCTGAAATGTTGGTTGTTAAGCTCAAAGACTACTATCTGAACTCACTCTCACCTTCTTACCCTTTGTCTATTGAGTTTATAAGATTCAATGCTCTCTCCTTGCTAAGTTACTCTTTTCTTCATTTGGTTATTAGATGTTTATTCCCTTATGTGCTACAACAAACTGCATTAAGCCTCTTATAAGATGTTTATTCCCTTGTATGCTACAACAAATTGCATTAAGCCTCTTATATAGAATTCTTCTCACTTATCCAACTATCTAATTAATTCGGAGAGTTCAACAATTACATTTATAACGCATAAACTTTAGAAGATAATATTTTAAAAAAAATTAACCAATTCTAGAAAATTTCAAATGTGACTTTTTGACATTATCACTTTTATCTCTAATACCTTAACCTTTTATTAACTCATTTAGTAGAGATTAAAAGGTTTATAAATTTTTCTCATTATATTAGTCTTATTGTCTTTATTCGACTTAACCATATCAATAATGTGGTCCATAGTTTGTAATAGTTTTATTGTTTTACTCCGACTTAACCATATCAATAACATGACACCATAGTTTGCCTTTATAAATTGTTTATGTCATCATGTCTCCGTACCATACAACATACCTCAATTGACCACCTCAGTATTATGTTAAAATGTGTCTCACCTAGTGCCTTGCCACTTGGCAACTTTAACTTTGACACGTTATACCTACGGAGTTTTGCACTTGATGAAACCTATCTGCTCCATGCCACCTAATAATTTTGACTTATCTTCCCAATCCAGCTCACATACCATCAAGTGTCAATTGTGATAAAAAAAAAATAAGGTAATTACTTTGCATTATGGGCATTTAATGAAACATTTGAAAGTTCATTCTAGGCATTGAATTATTTCTCAATATTTTGGTGGGTAATTTTAGAAGTTTTATTGTAAACATGATTAGTGAGACCCCATTTAGCTTTCGAATTGAATTTCACAATTAATCTCTATTAGGATAACTTTCACATTTATCCAAATTCTTTGATTATCTTGCATTGTTTTCCTAAACTGCCTATTAATACCTTATATTTGATATAATATTGACGAAGCTAAACATGTAAATAACTTATCTTGCCAGATATTATTTACCATTTCCAAGCTCATTATTTTTACAGATTCCTTCCTAGCAAACACTTGACAAAAGTAACCCATCCAAACATCCTCAATTTATTTTTTAAAAAAAAAGCAAAAAAGTAGAAAGAAAATCCGGATGAGATGAACATATTTGAGTTTATTGTCTAATCGAAACAAACCCATTTTTCCCTTTTCCTATTTCCACAATCTCAAAGTTTGTAAAGCCAGCCGAAGGGTTGCACTATTCTTTGTTTTTCTCTTTTCGATCTGTGAGGGGTTGCCCTGCTCGTCCCCGTCGCCCGAGGGGGGTGTGGAGTTCTAGCCTGCGCGGCAAAGTAGACAAAATTATCACGACGTGGTGGTGCGAAGGGTCCCAACGACCGCCACGGCATGATTCGCCATTACCGTCATTGTCAATGACACGCTGGATTTGGCTCTAAAATGTCATTCGCTGTCGACATGGTGGACATGGTGGATTTGTGGGTCGGTCTAATCAGAGCCAAAATAAACAAAGCAAAGTCCGAATTGAATCATTATTTGTTTAAGGAGTTGGGTTGAATGGATCTGGCGTGTTTTGTTTTGTCAACATGGATGAGCTTCACTAGACTTGTATGGTTGTCCCGCCAAGGACGACAGTCACAGAGCATAAATTTGAACCTTTTTTTTTTTTACTCTTTTTTTGAGAATTGATTTTGCTATTAAATTTTTATTGTATTTACATACAAAAACATTATTGAATATAATCATTTAATTAAAAATAAATATGGAGAGAATAAAATACCACTGACTTTTATGTTTGTTACAATTATTTTTTATTGGTGTATAATAATTCATAAATATTTTAATGCATAAATTAAAATTATAAAAGTTCAAATAACAAGCAAATTTTAAGAAACAAGGACAAAAGTTTGTATTATTTTCATTTTACCAAATTTGGTCATAAAAGTTCAGCATCCTTCTTAACTCATTAACCAGTTAGGCTTGCCATATGGTACCAGAATACTCTAAATTTCATATTTTTTAAAATCAATTTTTTTACCTTTGATTTTTTTTTTTTTTAACAGAAGTTTATAACTCTACTTGGTTAAATTAAATATCAAAAAAGAAGAAAAAAAATAAAGCAAGGCAATACAAATTTAGGCAAATTTATATTTAATATTAATAATTTTTTATTTACCAAAATACATTTTATGAAACTAATTCATTAAAATATATTTTTTACTTTTCATGGTAAGAAATCGAGTCCTATGAGCTCAATTTCAACAAAGAAATCGGTTTTGTCTAAAAAATTGATTCTTATAAAATTGATTTTCTAACCAAAATCCTGTCCTCAAAACATTAATTTTAGGGGAAACAAATTAAATAGGGGTGACGGAACTTTACAAAGAAGCTCCATCCATGGAAGCTCAAGTCTACAAAGCTCCTATGGATGTTGAGAGTTTTACATCAAGTTCTAATAGAAACAGAGAGAAGGAAGGGTCGCCGCTTGGCCCTCCTCCCCCTCCCTTTCCATTCCTTTTTTACGTACCTTGTTGCATAGTTTCAAATGAAATTCTTTTACAAAATTTTCATCAAATAATGGCAGTTCTTAAAATTCTATTTGACTTGTTCATTCTGAAATTAATTTCAATTAAAATTAGTCTTGTAAAACCTATTTTCTAATAAAAATCAATTTTTTCTGGTTTGATTTTACAACAAAAATAATAAAATATATATTGATAAATAATTTTTAAAAGCTATAATTTAATAAATAAAAATTATATTAATATGAATGTAAAGTTGCCTGCAAAAATATCTACTAAGGTTAAAAAAAAAAGGAAATACACAAAAAGGGAAAGGTTTTTCTTTCCGAACAAGAAACGGAGAAGTTTCATTATAAATGCTCAATCCCCAAATCTGCAGAGCTCAGATCTCTCAAATTGTGAATCTTTATTGGGCTTATCTCTTTATCATCTCCGCGCAACCATCTGACTTTCACTTCAACTTATAGAATATGAGTAACCAAGCTGAATCATCGGACTCGTGAGTAGAATTTTCCCAGATCTTTACATGTTTTGCTGATGCATTTGTTCAGGAGGCTCCATGGTATCTGGGTTTGCATTGTTTGCTTTTTTTTTTTTGCTTTTGTTCTGAGGTTTTTGTGTTTTGATTCTATTGTTGCAGTAAGGGAACGAAGAGGGACTTCAGTACTGCGATTCTGGAGCGCAAGAAGGCCCCCAATCGGCTCATTGTCGAAGAAGCTGTCAACGATGACAACTCCGTTGTCGCGGTGCACCCAGACACAATGGAGAAGCTTCAGCTCTTCCGCGGCGACACCATTTTGATCAAGGTTCGTATTTTAATTTTTTTTTTTGGAATATTCGGTTTGGGGTTGATTTTTTAATTTTGGATTAGTCGGATTGTACCGGGGGTTTAAATATTAGGGTTTTTGGCTTGAGTTGTAAGATGGACTTTTTATCATATTTGTTGGAATTCCTTTTTGGGAGATTAGGGTCTGGAATTGGGCATTTGAGTCTGCTGTGGATGTGTATCAAGTCGAAATTTAAATAAAACCAATACCTTCTTTTCACTGGACGACGAGGGCATCTACATGAACTTCTTCTGAGATTTAAAAGTCACGTTCAGAATTTGGTATGCCTTACATGTTTTGTTTGAACTGTGTACATGCTGAACACTTGAATGTGGGGACGGATGCATACGTCAATTTGGTTAACTTCATTCTTAAAGCAAGCAGTTGAATACACTTGGGAGAAGTATTTTGATTCGAGACCAATGGAGAAGGGCTATTTGAATGGCTGGCCTTGTGTAGTGATAATTAGCACAAGGGACTTGTACATGCAGTTTATCTATTCTTCACGTGGTTGTTTGGATAAATTGTGTGTGTAGGGCAAAGATCTGGCACAATGTTGAGGAGTTTCCATAAATAGGGATAAAAGGTTAAATGCTTCACCTGCTTTACGGTGACGTAAATATTCTTGCACGTGACTTTTGGTGTCTTATATTTTCTTAAATTTCTTTTAATAGCCTTGTCAATGCAATGTTTGGTGTATATAGCTACCAATTATGTTTCTAATGGATTTTTGTATTGTTTTTGCTAACTTTAGACGCGGATCAAGCTTTCCTGTTGGCATTGTTTTTTTTCTGATACTGCATAAGTGTGCATATTGTGTATGCTTGACTTCAGCTTAGACAGGGACTGTTTAGTGTTTATGATTGTGTGCATGTTTGGTCTGAATTATATGGGAATTTTAAATTGTTAACAAGTATCTCATTTTAAAGCTTAACCTTACAGAAAGAATGGTAACTTAATCATTTATTACTTAACAT